CCTCATATGCACTTCAACGGCCTGTAACTGTGAAAATGTTCATAGTGTGGAGGTAAAACTTTGCAGGGCTTCATTAGAGACACTGAAGTTACTGTAGATAAAAATCAGCTGATTCTGAGGAGGTCGGGCGGAAACACTGGTTATATGTCATTGAATAAAACTTTATATACGATATAATTAAAGCCGAACCCACAGCATTATGGCAATGTGGGACGAGCAGAGTGGCATCACCTTTGATTTTACAGCCGGTTATTGAACTCTATACATAACTGTGAAACTGTCCTCTGCATAGCCGGTGGACTTTAGTCTGTTCAATGTAGATGCTGTAAATTCTGGTTTACTTTAACCCAGCTGTTGTTTTTATAGCCACCATGTTGAGTGTTTGCTCTGAGTTTGAGCGAGAAATACTCAGCCTTGACCGATATTTAATATAAATGGTTAAATCTGATCTTAGAGAAATTCAGGCATTTTATTTACTGTGTACATTTTTCAGGAAAAGTCAAAATATGTGATTGAAGCAGAGTCTGACTATTGCAAGAAGATTTCCTTTAATTAATGTCCTCCACTATTTGGCTCTGTCTGAGTCATGAATATGGAGTAGTGAAAGTGCCAAATTACAAAAATAAATCAATAAAAGAGTTATAAAAATAAAAGTGGAAATAAAAAGAAGAATAAAAAAATAAATAATGTGGCTAACCCAAAAAATATTATTAAAAAAAGAATCCATAAAAGAAAAGGTTAATAAAATTAGAAATATAAAGAAAAACAAATAAAATAATATATTTTTTAAAATTAAAATTTATTGTTATTATTTTGTAAATATTTTTTTCATTTTTATTTTTTCTTTTCATTTGCTTTTTAACATTATAAAAAAAGGAAACGAATTATAAAAAAAATAAGTTAATTTAAAAAAAAAAATTAAAACTAAATAGATAAAAATGAAAAAAAAGGCAAATTATTATTGTTATTATTTTATTTATTTGTCTTTATGTTTATACTTTTATGGATTAATCTTTGATTAAGATTAATATTGCTTTATGTTTCCAAAACAAACAAAGTCTTGAAGCTGACAGACAAACTTACTTTCATCAACAACACTGGCATAAAATACAATAAAATATCCCTGTTATCATCCTGGAAGCAATATTGTCAAACACATCAGCCACAATTAGTTGATGAACAATTAATGGGCTGTTCCTGTATTACAATCCGATAATGTACGTTACGCCTGAGTGAAATAATTCATGCTGATCGAATCAGTTCATTTAATTTAATATTAACTTTTCTAATGATGTAACCTTGTTTGACCTTTTTTTATCCAGAGATAATGCTCCAAACATATTATGTAACAAGTGCAGAGGGCATCAGAGGCTGATTTGTGTTGCTTCTCCTTCCTGCAGAGTCTAACGAGTTATGACGTGTGCAGCATCTTCCTGGGAACGTCGACGCTGTTGGTGTGGGTCGGCGTCATCAGATATCTGGGATACTTCCAGAAGTACAACGTAAGTTTGTCCTGTCACTGTTCTGTCCGTGATATTTGACTCTCGGGATGGATTTTCTTCCTCACTGTCGGCTCGTTTTTCACTGAAATATAACCATGACGAAGGAGAGAGAGCTCTGAAATGTCTTCTGTTAGACAGTTAGAACACCATAAATCATAAAAAGTTTAATTTCTTTTATTATTATTTTACAAAACCTGAACGCAATATGTCAATATGTCCATTTAAGTGTCCACAGCTGTTACCAATACTGGAAAAAGAGGATGCTACATACTTTTTTTAGACATTTTACCAATTACATGTTTAATTTACTTGTCTCCTCTCTGCTCTGTGTAAACGCTGCCTGCAGTTAATTTGAAAAATCTTTTAATTTTTTTCATGTGACTGTTGGTCACAGCTGAGACATTAATACCTTCACGATTAGGACAGGAAATGTAGAATTTTTAGTTTTTTACAGAATGTTGTTAATACTAACCGTTTATTTTTTGGTGAATTTTTAAATTCGAACTGTAAAATAAAGAGATTTCGTTTTTGAGACAGAGCTGCACTTTGCACATTTTGTTTGCAGAGTGAAAAAAAAAAAGTTCACATGAACGAGAGGAAATAAAATATAATGTAAAAGTAGAGCAAATCTCACGAATACCTAAGTTTGGAGACATTATTAACTCCAAACCTGATGTGTTTCCAGCCATTTAAACACATAAACCAGATAAATCCTGCAGGAGACGTCATATATTCCACCACAGACAGATAAAATGTTCAGATATATAAAATCAACTCATGTAATCTTATATATCTGAACATTTTATCTGTTTCCTTGTAATGTTTTTAATTTTCTTATTATATATATTTTGATGTGTGCTGCTACCTTCTTGGCCAGGTCACCCTCAATGGGTCTCAACCTGGTTAAATAAAGGTTAAATAAAGAGACCCACCGGAGTAACGGAAACAGAATAAAACACTAAAACTTACAGCATCACGTCACGAGAATGTGAGAGCCTGACCATTCTCATTGGGTCATTTTGGGTATTTTATTCTGAAAGTAATGTGCTTTTTGGTGTTCAGAGGGTTGAACTCAGATATTACAAGAGATGTTCTTTTTTAGTTTTGTTTTTTGGGGATGATTTGCAGCTGCAGCCTTCTCATGGAAAAGAATTGAGGAACTGAAATTGTGAATATTTGTCCAGTTGTGATCAGAACAGATGAACTCTGGATCACATGTTATGTAACAAGAAGCTGCAACAACTTTTAAAGAACAAGACAGTTTTAATGGACGGGTTTCTACCAGAACTTGTCCTCTTCATCCTCAAATATCAACTTTGCTTTTTCCTGATTTGCTCATGTTTAAAAAATGACTCAAGCCCTGCATGTTTCTTCTATGTTTAGGTGCTGATTTTAACCATGCAGGCAGCTTTCCCCAAAGTCCTGCGTTTCTGCTGCTGCGCCGGCATGATCTACCTCGGATACACCTTCTGTGGATGGATCGTACTGGGACCCTACCACGAGAAGGTAACTGGTCCGGGGAGAACATCCGTCTGAATCTCTTCACCGACGTTTACCATAACGGATGTGGTGACTTTTAGGGAACTATCAGGTCCATGTTCAGTGACTCATGTGCTTGTTCAGGCACAAGTGTTGCTGAGGCTGCAAGCACCCCGTTGCATAAGGGAACTCCCAAATCGACAAGAACTGTGTTTTATTAATGAGCACGAGTTTAAAAGGTCACCTTAGGGCAGTTGGCATGCAGTTTAAAGGAACCTTTGAGGTTCCTCACCTTTACAAATGAGGAGGAACCGTTTGAATTCCTTGAGGAACCCCATAGGAAGGTTCTTTGAAGAACAGTTTTGTGGGTTGTTCTTCACCTTCTTCTTCCTCCTCTTCTTCTTCACCTTCTTCTTCTTCTTCTTCTTCACCTTCTTCGTCATCTAGTTCATCTTTTTCTTTGTTTTCAGCTTCGTCTTTTTGTCTCCTTCTTCTTCGTCCTTTTTTGTCTCCTTCCTCTTCTTTGTCGTCTTTTTTGTCTTCTTCTTCATCATTCCTTTCTTCTTCATCTTCTTCTTTGTCTTCTTCGTCATCATCTCTTTCTTCTTCTTCGACATCATACCTTTCTTCTTCATCTTCTTCTTTGTCTTCTTCTTCATCATCATCCCTTTCTTCTTCTTCGTCTTTTTGCTCTCCTTCTATTATGATTAACTGATTCTAAATGAATATTATTATGTACAGTTTTTTTTTTTACTTCAAACATATGGAAAACCACTTAAGATAGAAATGTATTCATCTTTAAGGAGTGTCTTAATTTAATGTTTCCAAAGAAAATGGAGACTTTTTTTCACAGTGAGGAAGACAGCGAGCTTGTCAAACAACCCAGTTTGCCCACATATGCAAAACCAGTCTTGAAAGCTCGCATTACTGTCTCGGATATCGATGCCAAAAATACATTTTAAAGACAAAATAAAGAAGACTAATTGTAAAAGCAGGCGCAAAGTGGCAGTTAGGCTTCATCGTGACTCACAAATTTAAAAAAAAAAAAAAGTCCTCCAGAAATCCCTTTTGAGTTGTTAGAGGTTCCTCCAGGAACTCTTCAAGAACGTCCCCAGAGGTCCCCAAAGGGTCTCCTAATTTAAAGAGAGCATGTTATGGATATTAGCACTGGAAAACGTGTGATTCTCTAAATTACAACGGTGTCAGTTATTGGTCATCAAACAGACTTTCTGCACAATACTGGATCATTTACAGAAGATTAAATGTGTTGGGTTCTAGTATTGTTGCATTAACGTCTCTGTTGCTGCTCAGAGGTGATTGTTGGGTTTCTTCAGAATCAGAATCAGAAGCTTTTTATTGCCAAGTGAGCACCCACAAGGAATTTGGCGTAATGAATGAGACTGGTACCCAACAATAACAAGACAGGATTAAATACAGAAATCTAGATTGAAGAAATTCTAAATAAAAAATATGTAAAGGAAAGTGTAAAAGTACAACGTAAATAAAAAGTACTGAGAAAAGAGACATAAACTTGCTTAAACCAAGTAATAAATTAGGAAACAGTCTAAATTACAATATTGCACATGTAATGGTCATGCACAGAGGGAGTGCAACAGGTGTCTTTAGTGGTTTACTGACTGACTTGCCCTTGGATTTAACATTTAAAAGCCCTGCGAGGACGATTCATACCTTCTTTTTTTGCTTTCTTTTAAATTTGTAATGTTACTCTTGTATCTCGAATTCAAAGCATCTTGGTGTAAACTCTGCTGCTTTAAATGCATATAAAAGAGGATTACTCAACCAGTTCTGTCAGAACCAACTGTCACGTTTCACTGACGGTGGCAGAAAACTGCAACTCGTCAGACTTTTTCTTACTGTTACTGTTGAATTGCTGTTTCAGCGTTTATGTTCTTCAAAATGGGGAAACAGAGGAAACAGGGCGAGTCCGTTCTTTTCAGGGTTCAGTGTTTTTTTTTAGACACTTGTAGGTGCAGCTTGTGGCCACCAGGTGTCAGTGTTTGTTTACCAGTGAAACCTCTGGTTTCTGCTTTACCAAGTTCGATGAAACTCTCACAGTTGGTCAAAGTCTATCATGGACATGAAGGCACTCGTACATCTGCGCTCACAGCTTAGCCTCTCTGTGAAGCATCGCATTTTATTCTACAGCAGCGTCTTGGACCACCAGAAACCAGTCCGGTGGTTGTAACCAAGCAAGCTGTGAACAAGCAATAAGAATGTAAAGAACAAAGCAGAATGTGTCTGTACATCCTGAAAACAAAGATGTTTTCGCTGCAGTCCGGCGATATTTCGACCACTTCTTAAATCCCTGTCACCTCGACTGGGAGATCTCTGGACTGCAGGTGCCTTCAGGGGAAACATGAGTGTGTTTAGCTGTCCCGGCCTGTTAAGATAAATTATTTACGGAAGTCGGAGCAGAAGTAGGCGTTTAAACAACTCTGCAGATGTGAGATAGACTGAGAACAGCATCTCACAGAATGATGATAATGAGAGTCTTCATTTTCAAAAGGCAGCGAATCTGAAAAAAAAACACAACATGGTGTATAAAAACTAGCACAGTGTTTAAAAAAAGGGAAGTTCAAAGTAGATTGAAAGTCAAATTAAATCAGTATAGGCTCTCAAAGTGGTGAATATGGTGCTGAAAGGTCAGAAATACACCCAGGAGAGAGAAATAATGAGTAAAATCTTTAAATCTGTCCTAAAACACACTGTGAACCTTCATAAAGAGGCTGAAACCGGAGCGATGTGTTGAGTCTCTGGGTTAAAATACTTCACCGACCAGATTACAATTAATCCCAAACTAAAGAGGAGGAACTGCTGTAAATATATTGAAATCATTGAATCAGATTTATTTCGTCGTTACCATTCCGTTACCACATTCAAATCTGATATTGCAGTTTTGTTTTCATCTGAAACCAGCTTCAGTGAGATCTTTGTGCCTGCAGCTGGAAGTTGAAACGCTTTCAGTTCCTCCAGGTCGCTCAGAGCTGCAGTCAGCTGAGCTTCTGTCACGATATTTACTTTGCGGCGGCTGCAGGACTCCCCTGTTCTGTATTTACCGAAGGCATAAACAGAGGATGTCCGACGACTTGCCCCTCCACACGTCCTCAAGTGCCGGGCTCAGGATCCGTCCCGTCGCAGAGGGATGTTGTTTTTTTGATCCTATCACCCCCAGTTGGGACATAACTGCCTCCATAATCGTATCTGAGTCGCCCTTTCAGCCATTTGTCGCTCTGTTTGTCTTTCTGTCGTCACCGATCCGCCTCCGTCGCCTCTTTAAGAAGCAGCAGAGACTTTTCAAAACCTACATTTAGTTTAATCCGCAGTCAAAGATGCACATGTGCAGCAGTTTAAAGTGTCTTTACTGAGTGTTGTTGTGAACAGGACCTCTGCACGTCTCATAAAACTGATCTGGAGTGACTCATTTTCCTGTTTAGCTGCAGCTTCACCTCCATCTGGGGAGACTTTTCAGGTCCTTAAAACATCAGAAATGATTATTTTGATAATGAAATGAAAAATTAAGTCAAATTTTTGGTTTGGAGACATTTGATCACCTCAGGATTGAGAGATTAATAGAAAAATAATTTACTGCAGTTTAACAAGCTGACATTACAAAAAAAAATCTGAATAAAAGATGATATTGTAGAAATATTAATAACAATAATACCTTTATGTCTATGGCACCTTTTAAAAGCCGAGTTTACAAAGTGCTTTACAGACAAAATAAATTAGTTCAACAACAACAACAGATAAAATAAAATAATAAGAGAGAGAATAAGTGGAATAAAAGAAAAAATGGAGGATAAAATCAAACACGAGGATATAAATGATAATCATAGTAGTAATAGTCAATAAACAACATAAATAAGTAAATAAATGAAGATTAAAAGAGAGTAAAATGAACAATAAAATAAATTAAGTTGTAAAAAAATTAATTAGATGATAAAAATAAACATAAATTAAGAAATGATCGGAATGGGTCGATGGTGTTGCTGCATGTCTCAGATTTAGTTTATTTGTTATTTGACGGCCACAAATGAAGCCTCTTCATCTTCCTCAGTGTTAAATTCAAACAGGAGGCGTCGGTCAAGTGGAAAAATATTCAAAACTGATCCTCTTCTGGAGCCATTTAATCGTTCAGATCTGATGGAAACAGTTTAATCTCATCATATTTCTTGGCTGTGGAAGTTTTATTTCTCTTAAGCTGAAACCAGATTCTCAACATTCATCCAGAACATTTGACAGAACTTAGTTTTAGATCCTCATCTCTGTTGTTTCAGAGCTCCTCAGGTTCGCCTCCGTGTTCATTTTGTCGTCTTTCTCTCTCCAGTTTGAAGGTCTGAGTCGAGTCGCCGAGTGTCTCTTCTCGCTGGTGAACGGCGACGACATGTTCACCACCTTCGCCCAGCTGAAGGACAAGAACACGCTGGTGTGGCTGTTCAGCCGGGCGTACCTCTACTCCTTCATCTCCCTGTTCATCTACATGGTGCTGTCGCTCTTCATCGCCCTCATCACCGACGCCTACGAGACCATCAAGGTAACTGGAGAGGAGGCCTGCGGCTCTGAGTGCAGCTGACGGGGAGCAACGTGATGTTCAAAGTGCTTTAAAATCCTCAAATCACTAAAGTAAAGTCACTCAATGATATGAAACTGGGCGCAAGAAATCAAATCAAGTTTATTGTCATTTTGCTGTACATACAACATCAGTACAAACAAGATGAGAGAGCGTTTCTTCAGGATCCAAAAGCTAAAAGCTATTAAATAAACAAGTGTTTGCATGTCTGGATCAGCGGTTCAACATTCTGACAGCTGGTGGAATGAAGCTGTTGATCAGTCTGGACGTTCTTCCTTCAGTGCTCCGGAAACGTCTGCCTGATGGCAGCAGTTCAGTTTATGGAGAGGGTGTGAGGAGTCCCTGACAGTGTTCAGTGTCCTGCTCCTGGAAAAGTTCAGCTAGCTGTCTGTCTGTCCACCATCCACTGAAAGATGCACCAGTTACAGTGTTGGGATATCGTAGAGGGACGAGGATGCAGCTCCCACCGAGCCTCAGCAGCACTTTGGCCACAACCTGGGCACAGATCACAGAAGAAAATCTTTAACGAACTCAATATCTGATCGCTTCATTAACCCTCTAAACCCCTGAAGTCCATCAGTAGGTTTGAAAGGCTTAATATTGTTCAAAAAGTCACCAAAACTGCATCAATTAGAGATTCTGAGCCAGAAACTGTAAAAAAAAAAAAAAAAGAGAAGGTAGAATTGCTGAATTTTCAACTTTTCCGTAAACGTGTCGAATCCTGTTCCATCCGTTTAATTAACCAAATCTCAGCTTCAAGTTGTGATATTCCATCAATATCACTTCATTGTCTCTGTTTGAAAATGATCCAAAAATAAAGCGTTTTCATTGATCGGGTTCTTTAAAGAACAAACAGCGAAGCCAATTAGAGGCTCAGTGGTAAACAGCTGGTCAGACGGAAAAAATAATAAAAGAAATTCAACTTTACTTTGTTCTTTATGTACGATTGATGTCATTCTAACTGTTTTCTGAGTTCTCTGTCCTCCGTCTTGGTTGTTCTGTTTCCATAGAGGGGCTTTATGTTATAGTAAAAAAAATGCAACAGGAGTTCAATGGTTAAAGATGGATTGTGACGTTTTGATGGACTTTATTTATTATCTTCACTTTCTAATAATTGCTGATGTTGAGAAGCTGAAGGAGTCGGACAACAACGACTTTAAATCTTTGAGGTTGTTCCTCCTCTGAGGATATTTTATAATCCAGAGTGGAGTTATCTCTCAGGCCTAGTGTGAATGAAGGTGCTGCTTTGTAACTTTGGATGTGTTTTTTTTTTTGTGTGTGTGTACGTTTTTCAGAACTACCAGAAGGACGGGTTCCCGCTGACGGACCTGCAGAAGTTCCTCAGAGAACAGGGAGACTTTCCTGTGATGGAGGAGGACAGTCGGACCGACGCTGGACTCTCGAGCTCTGTTCTCTGCTGCTGCCGACGGTACGACGCTGACGGTTGATTTATTTATTCAGTCACTCCAACGTTTGTTTCCTTTCTAAATTTATTTTCTCGACTTATTTGGGATTTCAGAACAGCGTGATGGTTGTTTGTCGACTTTATAAATGTAGTTGTATCGTCCTCTCGTGACTGAAATCATAACTCTGGTTCAGCTGAGAGGTTTATAAAGTCAGTTTCTTTAAATGTCATTTTGCTTTTTCACTTCGGTATTTCAGCGTTTTTGCACCAGTGATGCCAAACAAACAGCAGGAGTTGTACAGAGATGCATTTTCTTTAGTAGAATAGAATAAAAATCACATGCTGGTAGAACATCACACAGCTGCCTTAAGTTAACAGCAAAAGTAGTTTCTTATGTTTCTGTAAGACACCAGTATGTCGAAGCTCTTTAGCTGAAATAACATTTTTAATGCTAAAATATACTAATTATTGTTGTCTATGAATTATCAAATTTACTGTTTTACAAAAAAAATAGGAATGACATCATTATTTCTTGATTAAAATGTCAAATTATGGTTATTAACTTGCATGTCTGAACGGAAAAGTTAATTTTAGTGGATGAATTTTGTGCTTGATTGACAACTGAACAGCTCAAGTTTCCCAAATACCAGCTATCAGCCTTTCTTGACTGCAAATAATCAGCATCGGTTCAAAAAGAAGCAACAGATCAGTTCATCCCTGCTGGATATACACAAGTAATGTTATGTTTTATTGTCTCATTGTAATTATATTGCAGGTTTTAGTACGTCTACGACTAGATTTAGTGCTGAAATGTTTTTGACGTTCAGTGTTTTTGATCTGCAGCAACTTTTTTTCCTCTGTAAGGAGACATTTGGACCCAAATCGTGGCACCAGACCTCCTCGCTGCAGAGATGTAGGCGTCCATCCTTTAATTTGTTACCCGTCTGTATACACGCACTGAGATATCGTCTAATGTAGCTGCAGCTCAGTTTGTGTTGCTTCCACCTCGTTGCTACAGCAAGACGTCGTCCATGCGTCTGTGTTTTCTGCTCATTCCTTCGCTGTGAGCCAATCTCTCTCATCAGCCGGCAGCAGACTCGAGTGGAGTTTCCTCCACGCTGTGGTTTGGCTCTGTCTTCGCGCGGTCTGAGAGCAATGAAATTAGTGGTGGGAGCTATGCAGACACACCCAGTGATGGGCTGATTACAGAGAAACTGAGGCTGCACACTGGGAAGAACCACCTCCCCAGCCCACCGTGGCTCCGTCGCCGCTGCAGATAAACAGGTCACGCTGCACTCTGAGGCTCGGCGTCGGCCGGAAGAGTTGCGTTCAAGTGCACCGTGGTCGGTTTGGAAGAGTTTTGGAAGTGTAACTGCAGTGACCTTTAATGTGGCGGTGGTTTTGTGTAGTAGAATGGTCTGACACCGCGTCCTCTCCTTCTCAATCACTTCCCCGTCCCTCTTTGTGTAATCAGATGAGGATTATTTCCTAATAAGCCAGCGTAATGAGTTGCATTTCTTGTTTACTACATCCCATTCGAAACTACAGCAGAGGGGTTTTTGCACAGCTTGGAGCCGATTCCTCTTAAATCCTACAACTTCACCAGACTGGGGTGTTTTGTTGTGGCTTTTGGTTCTGCTTTCTTAAAGATTCCTCAAATATTTTACCACCGTTTATTGTATTATTTGTTTCTATCCAGCTTCTATTTCGTGAGTGAGTGCAAAAATATGTTGTTTATGCCAGAAAATCAGCTCCCGTAGTCGTCTGTGTGGAGTCGTGCTGTGTTTCCCACCAAACTATTATTTTCTTCCTGCTTCAGATGTTTGTGCACGCTGTAAAAATAATGTCAGACTCGTGTAATCGTTGGAAAAGAGTTGGAAAAGTTTTCCTCCGCCATCATTACTGCTTCAGACACACATTAACACTCCGAGTCTTGAGCCTTTCCTGCGCGTTCGACAGCCGCTTTCCATCACCGAGCCATCCGGGTTTTCCCGCTCCGGACGTCTAAGCGTTTAAGGAAGTGCAGTTTCAGTTACAGAGCCATTATGTAATAATGTGTAATGAAACTGAATCTGCATCTTCTCCGTGTAGACGAACATAAAACCGCCCGTGGCCTTTTAGAATTCGCTAAATTTTGTCATTAGTACTCGTTCCAAGTTGTCCAGACTCTGTAATTGCAGTCATTTGCAGCCTCTGACCTACTAAATGTAATTTTTATGAGTTTCTTTGTCTCATTGTGCTCGTAGAAATTAGATCATATTCTCAGAAAACATGTTAATGACTTACTGGATGAAATTTCATCTGCATACAATTCGTCTTTTTCTGCTGCAGTGTGTTGTCTTGTTTGGAAAGAGTCACCCTCCGGTCTGATTTAAATCTTGTTACTCAGTTGGATCAGTTGAAATCATTATGACGCCACAGTAATTTAATTTCATGTGTTTTTTACTTTTTAAAATTTATTTTGCTTTATTTTTTAAAATGTAATTTGCATGCAATTTTTTTGAGGATTATAGTTTATTTGATTAGATTTTTAAATATAATTTAATTAAATTTTGCTTTATTTAATTTATTTTTATTTAAATAAATAAATACATTTAGTTTTATTAAATCATTAAAAATATTTAGCTTTATTATTATTATTTAATATTATTTTAATTTATTTAATTTGATTTTTAAATGTCATTTCATTTATTTGGCTATATTTTATTTTAATTTAACTTTATTGTAGTAATTTAATGTAATTTATTCTGTAACTCAATGTGATTTAGTTTGAGTTTTTAAAATCTAATTAAATCCTTCTTTATTTTATTCTTTTTATTTTAATGTTGTTTTATTTGGTTCGGATATTATTAGTAGTTATTATTAAACTAAATTGTATTTTATTTTATTTTATTACTGTAATGTAATTTAAGATATTTTTAAGTTATTGTAACTTAATTTAGTTATTTCGAAATGTGTGTGTGTCTTTGGATAGTTGGATGAATTTCAGATGCAGTTTCTGATGACAAACACAAAAGACATAAAATAAATTAATCAGGACCAATACTGTAAATATAGCAAAGCCCATTTAATAAGAACACATAAATAATACTTTAAAACAAGGACAACAGTACATAAGACACGACTTAATAAGTTACAGAGTTTGGCCACAAGCTTGATTCTCTTTTAACTGTGATTAGAAATCAATTTTAAATGCATGTTCAGCATCTGATAAACGTTTGCAGACTGTTGCATGTGCGAGACGTTCCTCGTCTTCGGCGTTCTTCAACACAGACTTGGTGTGTCTGTCATCAGCTGTTTTGTGCTTTATGAAGCAGTAAGACGGGGAACAGCCGAACCATGAGACAAGAGAAGCTTCTGCAGATCTGAAGAACTGTCTCAGCTCAGGAGGTGATGGTTTCTTTGGCAGTAATGACGTTGAACCTGAAGGGTCTCAGGCTGGTTGAACAGAAGCGACATGAAATATAACGACTCTGCCTTAGTAGCTGTACGGTGGAAGTTTGGCAAGTTGAAGTCAGATTAGAATCGATTTTTGCACCGAGATCTTTCATTAAGTGGAAACCAGAGTTATTAATCCACTAATCGACTGCTAATTTATTCACTGACGAGTGTGTTTGCCCTTAAATGCGTCTGCTGCTGTTCTTACAAAACATTTCACTGGATGGTAAAATAAAGCGGCTCAGAAAAGGGTTTTAAACGGTGCTTAAGTACAACCAGGCGAGGCGGTTTTCTGCTTTCTAAGAGAAAACATTCACATCCTCAAAAGGCTGCAGCAGTTTGTGGAAGCGAGAGTCTGAGCTTCTCTGCAAAACAGTAAAATGTGCTGCTCACTTATGGACGTAAAGACGAAGAGAAAACATCTAATCGTAGCGAGAACTTGATTCCTCTTGAGAGGAAACAGCCAAAGAAAGACACAAGTTTGTCATTTTCATAGTTGTTCTCAGATGGAAAGCGGTCAAAGCTGCGTGAAGGTGGAATCCCAGAGAGCGAAGACGCGTCCTGCTATGACCTCGAGGAACTGACGAATGTGTTTGTTTATGGAAGAAACCCACCAGTTTGAACAAGCAGCTTCAGGTGTGAATTCCTGCACGGAGCTGAATAAGAGCATCAGGATGACTCAGTGCATGTCGGTGGTTTCTCAGTGAACCAGGATTAGTTGATGAAATGTGATGGCAGCATCTGACAGTTGCTTTTGTGAAACCCAGATGAGGCGGATTAGCGAGCGTCAAATAAGGATTTTAACTTTAATTTTCTGTTTGTTTAGTCATGGATATATACTGTTACATAGAAATACTTATAAACAAACATTCAAGGGGCTTAACTGGAGAGCAGCATTTTCTTTTTCTTCTTTTTTTTAAACTGAAGCTCATTATTAAAATAAATCTTTAGCATGAAGCATCGTGACGTTAGTTGTTCTTGGTCATTTGTCAGCTGCAGTCAGAGCTACAGAACTTCAAATAAAGTAAAGTGGTTTGTGAACTGAGCAGAGTTTGGATGTAAAATGACAACAGCAGCGACACCAGAAGAGGAACTTTGCATCTGTTAGCTTCTCTCCTGCTCTCTGTGCTCACTTGTACGGTATTCTAATACAGCTGGATTCCCATTAAAGCTGTTCTCATTTACAGGTTTTTCTTTTTTCTGTTCTTATCAGACATGAAATAGATATTACATATGAAATAGTGACTGAAACAGGACTGATTAAGATTGCAGAAGTCACTTTCATGTTATGGAAGTGATAGTTTGACTCATCAGAACCACGAGTTAAAGACGACGGCTATTCTGAGAATTCAGGTTTATTTTTATGAAATTCAAAGTTACTAATAGATTCAGAGAATATTTGCACTGCAAGGAAAAAAAGACTGCTCTGTGCTTTTTACTTCAGGGGTTAAATCTAAACCTGGATTTCTTTTAGAGCTGCACTACTGACTGAACTAATAATCCCTCGTTTTTATTTATTTTTATCAAGTTTCAGAATCAATCATAAACAACTTTTTTTTGTGCATGCAAACTTGAAACTGACTCGAGTCAATCTTCGCTTAATCTCTGTGTACAGCAATCAGGAAAAAAAACAAAATGCTAAAAATAAGAATGTAAAAGTTGAGGAGCAAAGAAATAAACTAGACAATGAATTTCCAGTTTAACGTTACAGTTTTAAGACCTTTGTTTGCATTTTGCTGCTTTAAACCTTCAGTTTGTCAGAATGACATGAACGTAAAAATGGAATTTTGCACTTTTTTGGTGTAAATTGTGTTACTTAGATTAATCAGACATAATATAATGGAACACTGGTAACCCTGATGGTTTAATTCTACACACCATGTGTATTTTGTAATCATGGATCCACTATTCTTTATTCTGTTTTTGTATTTTTCTCTTTGTTTTTCTCTTTTTATGCTGCTGCTGTAATGTGTGAATCTTCCCAGTTTCAAGTTTATAATTAGAAAAATGAAAGATGAGTTGTTAATGTCTCTCATGACAAAGTATGTTGAGAAATGTGCTGATCTGTGAATTAGCCGTCCGACTAATGACTGGAAGTGTTTTTGTGCTGATGAGACATCCGGTGCTTCTCTCCTCCGTCGTTGCAGAGTTCCAGTAAACGACGATGAGATCCTGATCAGCTGACGGCCGCCACGCCTCCAGATGAGCTGGTTCAGGGAGGACGACGCTGGAAACTGGACTTCACATGTCTGACGTGAAGATTCCAAAAAATCCTGGAAAGTGTATTTACCTTTTCCAAGAATCAGGTGCAACATGAAACACGAAATGAGCTCCAAGCTTCACCGAACGCTGAACTGAAAGTCAAGCTGCAGAGCTGGAACTAAGACCAGAACGTTTCATGTGTTAACGGCACCGATTCGCTGTTTAGAAGTTTACAAGGCCTTTTAAGATTTGCACACGCCAAAGACCTAGATTCTATATTTTCTGAATATGAATGTCGCTGCATAAACCGGTGCAACGTTATGCAGCGACACGTGTAATTTATTGTCTTATATTGTTGGAGTAAAGTTAATCTTTTCATTTATCCTTCTTTGCCTCCTGTCTTTGCCAGACATGCAGCTTTGAAGAACTTCCATCTGCATACAATTAGTACTTTTTCTGCTGCAGCACATTATCTTGTTTGGAAAGCAAGTTGAAAAGCAAGAGTCACCCTCTGGCCAGTATGTGTCATTGTCAGTTTTGTTTATTATGACACTTA